CTAAAAATCGGATAATTTTCCATAGGAAATGGAATACTGCTCTATACATATATATATATATATATTATATATTATATATATATATTATATATATTATATATATATTATATATATATGTGTGTGTGTGTGTGTGTGTGTGTGTGTGTGTGTGTGTGTGTGTGTGTGTGTGTGTGTGTGTGTGTGTGTTGTGTGTGTGTGTGTGTGTGTGTGTGTGTGTGCTGTGTGTGTGTGTGTGTGTTGTGTGTTGTGTGTGTGTGGTGTGTGTGTGTGTGTGTGTGTGTGTGTGTGTGTGCATTATATACATAGATAGATAGATAGATAGATAGATAGATAGATAGGTAGATTGATACAGATAGATATTTTGTATATCTATATCTATATCTATATATCTATGAATAGTTAGATAGATAGATGTATAAACATACATACAAAAAGTACATCTAAATACAACGAGAGAGCCTCCACGCGCAGCCTGAGAGAGCACAGCTGAAATGAGCCGGTGTCCACAGCAGCACGGATTAGGCATAACAGATAACCCTCGATAAGGAAGCTGCTCCTAATCTCCCAATCCCCTTTGATGGGCATCGATACACAAAATTGTTCAAGCTGATACCGATACCTCGATACTTGATGAACTGGCTGAAGCGATTCCGATACACCGGTTCTTCGTCGATACCGATACCAGTACGTGTATCGCCGGTACATCCTCGCCGGTACTTTATTGTTTACGGAAAGATCCAGACTCATACGTAAATACTTAAGTGGTATGTTTGATGCACGTGTTCACAGCTATATGCGTGTATTGGAATACATATATGTACACATATACACAGATACATAAATATACTCCTCCATCATTACTTCTCCTTCTCCATCATTACTTTCCTCCTCCACCATTCCATCATTACTCTCATTGTTATTCTCCTCCGCCTTCTCATTTATATACACACGGCCTTTATAGTGATACACATATTTATATTAATTCCCATTTCATACATATTTCATATCATGCATTATGCTTATTTCATATCAAACAGTATACATGTGATATCACGCATATTTCATATACATTTCATATACATTTACTGAAACAATCCATACATATTCATTAACACATTTAGCATATATTTATTGACATATTTCGTACATATATTTATAGACAATTTATATCGGGACTCGAACACTCTTTCAGAAGTCTTTTTATATTGCAGAATTCCCTTCTCTATCCACCTTTTTTCTTTGTTTCTGTCTTCTGTGTTTGTTTGTTTTATTCGAATCTGCGTAATTGTGTGGAAGAAAGATAATGATTGATGAATAGATGAATAGAAAATCGCCGACACGTGCGTTGCGATGCTGCTCATCTCTGCCTATCCACTCTTATCTAGTTCACACTGAGAAATGATGATTTTCACAAGTGTGTGTGTGTGTGTGTGTGTGTGTGTGTGTGTGTGTGTGTGTGTGTGTGTGTGTGTGTGTGTGTGTGTGTGTGTGTGTGTGTGTGCATGTGTGCGTATGTGTCCGTGTGTGTCTGTCTGTTCGTGTGTTTCTCTGTGTGTGTGTATGTGTGTGTGTGTGTGTTTCTCTGTGTGTTTCTCTGTGTTGTGTGTCTGTGTCTGTCTGTGTGTTTCTCTGTGTGTGTATGTGTGTGTCTGTCTGTGTGTTTCTTGTGTGTATGTGTGTGTGTTTGTCTGTCTCTCTGTGTGTTTCTGTGTGTGTGTTTCTGTGTGTGTGTCTGTCTACCTGTGCGTTTCTCTCTGTGCGTATGTGTTTGTGTTAGTGTTAGTCGCATAGCCACGAAGGTTTTTATCCACCAAGTGTCCAGGAGCCAGAGATAAATGACTCACCTGTGCCACACCTGCCGCGTCGCCTCTGCGTTATTCAGCCTCGAGAGAATCTGGATCACGGGAACCCTTTTCTGAACACTTGCCTTGCCTGTCTGGATTGTCCGTAGCGCCGTTTCGTTTGATTTTGTGCCTGTTTGTCCGGTCTGGAATTATTTTTTTCTTTCGCGTTTCTCTGTCTCTGTCTGTTCTTTTTCTCTGTCTCTGTCTCTGTCTGTCTTTTCTCTCTGTCTCTGTCTGTCTTCTCTCTCTCTCTCTCTCTCTCTCTCTCTCTCTCTCTCTCTCTCTCTCTCTCTCTCTCTCTCTCTCTCTCTCTCTCTCTCTCTCTCTCTCTCTCTCTCTCTCTCTCTGTCTATCTATCTAACTATCTATCTCATTATCTATTTTTTCTTTCCCTCTATTTTCTTCTTTTAATCTCTCCCTCCGTTCTATATAGATCTGAATAATCCTAATAGAAATCAATAGTGATATTTTTATATAGCCAATTTTTATCGCAGTTTTCTCTTTAAATCACAAGTGCTGTTGCTGTTTCAGTCAGAGCTTCTCGATTACATACACTGAACAGTATAATGTATAATCATCTTTATGTATCGATACAAGTGTAGGAATTTTAACAGTAAACAAAAGGGTCTGATGATAACAGTAAGGCTATCAGTGGC